ATTTCTCATTATTAAACATAACTTAGTTTATGGATATATGTGGTTTGATTTCTTTACTTGTGTGGATTGGATGGGTCTTGGATGTTTACCTAAAATATTGTGGCATGTTCAATACTTATTTTACCCACTGTATCTTTTGATAACAGCTTGCACCAATGACCCACTGGGTTCCTTTCAGGATGAAGCCAGATGTTCTGGATTTTAGACTTCAGTTGTTGCCATACTGGTTGGACTGGACTGGTTTTGGGGAGGTTGCTCTTAAAGCTACAGCATTTATAAATGAGCAGTGTGTTTGTGAACAAAAAGACACAATCACTGCTCATTACTATTCAGAATTAACCTCAGACATCACTCTGAAAAGTTTGAATGAATATAAATTTATTTGTATATCTCTTTGTCTCTTTATTTAATCAACTTGTTACTATTCAACATAAAAGCATTTGAGAATGAAATAAACAATTCAGTCTAAAGTAGAAGATATAACGTTATTGATCAATTGCTTATTCAATTAATAATTAAGTAAAAACATAGGACATCTGAACAAACCACAAAGCTTCTAAAACAATGTCCTTTGGACAGGTGAGACCATAGTGGAGATGTTTGACTGTAATGCTCAGCACCATGTTTTGTGAAAACTAAACACAGCATATCAGCACAAAAATCTCATACCAGTTTTCACCCACGTTGGTGGAGGGGTGATGATTTGGGCTTGATTTGCAAATTTGTAGGAACTTGCCTTGAGTCTCTTTTATACTAAAATATTCTAGAGTCAAATGTGAGCCCGTCTGTCTGACAGCAAAACCTTGTCTAAAGTTGGGTCTCACAATCAAGTCAAAGTTTAAATTTGAACTTGACAGAAATGCTGTTCTGGCCTATGAAGCAATGATGTTAAGAAGAGTGGGCATACATAATAAAAACCATAACATAATAACATAAAAACATAATAAAACCATACAGAAAATGATTACTTCAAGTTAGGGCTGGGCCATATTATACCGTTCACGGTAATACCGATATAATGTTAGGCAACGATAGGAAAATGAAATATCGCGATAGAATATGAGTAAAACGCGCATGCGCAGTGCCTTTGTTTTCATACGCACATGGCCGATTGTTGAGTGAAACAGATGAACCAGAATTGGTTTGTAAAAATGGTGCAACTTCATTGATGTGGAACTGGTGTGGTGTTTGTCGGTCAGATACACGACAAAGCACATTTCTTTGCAGAACATGCAAGCGGCCGTCGTTATTGTCGTATTTGTCGGACTAAGATGCTCTTAAATCTGGGAGTAATCTGGGTCCTAAACTCCTTCTCTTCAGGTCAAAGGAACACTGCAGCATCACTGAGAGTTAAAAACTGTCTAAATTCTTTCATCTTTAATAAAACGATCAGCATTGCTGCTTAACCAGGTGAAACTATGAAGTTTAACTTCTAGGCATCCATGAAAACTAAATTTATTACATTTAACGGAGTTAGAAGTTAGCAGGAAGCTAGCGGAAGTTAGCTTGCTAGTTTCGCTAGTTACCTAAGCATGATATAGCATGTTCTGACAGAGATTTCTGGAAAAATTCAAACGTACAGCTCTGCTATCACGTCCAACATAAATGAAGACAGGAAACTAAACAGCAGTGACGTTTGTAGGGTTACTGAGGTTGGGCTAGCTGGTATATAATGATGTGCTACCTGACCGCTAGCGACACAGCTATGTTAGCATAACATAAACACTGAAGCTGGAGGACGAACACTAACACTTTTCCACTTATAAAAGTTAACGTTAAAGTTCCTGATAGCTAGAGACATCGCATGGCAGGATGCTGTAAACGGACCAAACTTCAGTCAGGAGAACAACTGAGATAATCCATCCACAATACAAGGTTAGTCATTAATATACTGCAACAACATGGGAATAGAGCAGAATTCATTCATTAATAAATCAATGGTACAGAAGTGGAGGAAGCAAGAAGAATGAGTTTAATAAAGTTTGATTTATCTGACTGCTTTGTTTCGCTTAATGTGCCTTATAATCCCGTGCACCTTATGGTCCGAAAAATATGTACTGCACACTGCAGTTTAATGTTGCAAAGCACCTCTTTTTAACTTCAGTGGATATTATACATATGCTCAGGATATGTCAGCCCATTTCTACTGGAAATGCCTTTTGGTTAAACTTTCAGCAAGGAATTTGCATTTGCACTGTTACATTTTTATAAAGCTTTTAATGTACATAAAAACCAGCTTCTTGTTTAAGTGAAAATAAATGGAAGGTTGTCTTTTTGCGCTAGTAATGTTGTGGAGTTGTATTTTGTCTCGCATCAATTATATCGTCGGTTATATCGTTATCGCTCAAATATATATCGTGATAAATATTTTTGGCCATATTGCCCTGCTCTACTTCAAGTTATTGCTGCTAAGGTATATGAGAAAAACAGTAACACTATCAAGAGAGACTTGACTTTTAAAAATCAAGTTTTCAATCAAGCGTTTGCCAGCTTGTGTGTTTGTTGTGTGCTGCAACAAAACAGGAAGCAACTGAAATATTCAGATTACAGCTTAGTTGATTTGCTTTGTGGAGGTAAGTTTGATCCACTTTGGTTCCTCTCCATAGTCTTCATCCTGCAGGGAAAAGGAAAACAGAGAGGTTAAAACTATAGAAATTGTTTGAAGAGTTTGCCGCCTCGCTTGCAGCTTAATTACCCATTGGCTTCAGCTTCATCAGTTGAGTCTGGAAGCTCTTTTCTTCTGGTCTCAGGAAGCAAGAAGGCAAGAGCTCCACTGATGAGTGTAAGGCTGCTGTAGACTATGATTGGTATGGACCAGTGGTAGATGGCCAACATGTTGACTGGTGGAGATATCAGACCACCAGTTCGATACACAATAGAGCCCAAACCAGAAGCTGTTTGTCTGAAACAAGAATGTATATTTTAAGGACTAGAGAGTTTGAGAGCCACACTAACATTATGGCTGCAATGGCAAGGAGAGAGAGAGAGACTCAGCTCACCGAAAAGATGTTGGAAACAGCTCCTGAACATACACATTGCATACGGAGCCTGCCCAGTTAGTGAGAAAACGTCCACAGGTTGCTAACGCAGTAACAGCAACAGCATAACCTGAAACAGACTGACAGATTAAGTTTACTGCTTTCAGAAGCAGCTAATTCATATTTCCTTCATCATTCACATAATAATTTTAGAGAAATTTAAGAACCCACAGGTCTGTCTGTAAATCAGCAAAAAGGGTCCAGGCCCATTTCTTGGAATCTGTGACTTACAAATTCACTTGTCCCCCATCTCTTTCACAGTTTTGTAACTGTACTGGGTTTCCACAGCTGTAAGTTTGCACTCAATGACCTTCCAAAGATTTCAGGATGGAGCTCATGATAGCTGCTTCATTATTTCCATTTTATCAGGTCTGTGTGTTGCTGCAGGAGTTTCACTCCCGTCAGCAGATTTTAGTTTAGGCTTTACCACAGAGACCCACTTATGGTTTAACAGATGACTTTTGTTACTTGCAAAGTTACACCTGTATTTTATCATGACAGTTAGAAGCCCTTTAGTGTTTAGTATCGTGAGATGACTGAATGGCACTACCATCTAAAAACAGACAATATCAGAGGAAAACAAATAAACAAATACATATAGCTTGGACCATGTATTGATGGGCCAGCATTATTAGCTATGAGCCGATTTATAGATATCAGCATTTATAACAGCCAGTGAGTGAAAATTAAACAAGTAAAGAAGAGACACAAGAAACACCCTTCTGCCATGTTGTGGTTTAGAGGTATTTGCGGGGAATATTGACATCTCATAGACTGTCCACCAGAGAGCAACCTGCAACTTCCTTTTTGGCAACACAGGTGCTTTGTAAGCAGCTAACACAACAACCAGCTGATCTGAGCAGAGTTGGGACAGAACAAACAAACCAACAAAACAACAGTCCTGAGTGAATACATCTGAGGAGCTCTACCTTGAGGAACCGCTAGCATTAAGAGACACAACAATCCTCCAATTAGAAGTGTTGCCATGAGAGATGGTTTTCTTCCCACTGCTTCCAGCAGCCAGATGCTCAGAATATGAGCTGGTATTTCAGACAGGCCAAATACTGCCTGAGTCACGAAGATGTTCAAGCCAAGTTTTCCCACACTGAATGAAAGGCAGAAGTAGGCAACATTCAGCGAGAACCTGGGGAAAGACAGAGATGGATTTCAAATACAAGTTGCACAAAACTTGATCTGACACTTAAAGGCTCAGTAGAGCAGATAGGTGTAAAATACAACTTACCATGCCAGTGTTATGGTAAAGAAATATTTCCTAAGCACAGCTGATTGGATAAGAGTTTTTATGCCTCCCTTTTTCTCAGGGTCTTTCACAATAATCTGTAATGCACAGGGGTGAGCACAACATCATGCTAACATTGCTCATGTTAGCAATCATTTAATCCTACAGCCTTACAAATGTAAGTCTGACTTACTGCATCACAGTCCATTAAATTATTATCTTTCTAATGCAACTTTGGCCTCAGAAGTTGACACAGTGTCCTTGTGGTTCTAGTATGCTTACTTTATTAGAGTCCATCATTACCCATCATTTGCTCATTGTACTGCTAATATTTTATTACATAGCAGCTTTTATTATTGCTACGTGTAATATTCCTTTCAAGCCTCGATACAAAGGGAAGTGAATGTTGTGAAGGGTACCTGGTCCAGCAGATAGTTTGGAACCGTGCGCTTGTTGATGGCTGCAGCTTTTTTGATTAGCTGTTTAGCCTCCGTTGTCCTTCCAGTGCCCAGCAACCACCTGGCTGACTCCGGGATAAACCTGTCCAAAACAGGCCAGTGGCACTTAATAAATTCAAATGTACCAGTCATAAGGGATGGCATAATGAGAGAGTTAATGCACACCATATATAAATAGCAACCAATGCAAGTGGAGCTGCCGTGATCAGCTGAGCCAGTCTCCAGTTTCGTACAAAGTAGATCATTCCAGCGAGGAGGCACTGTCCAACTGCACCACATAGCTGAGTCACACATGCCCCCCATGAACGATTGGACACCCCGATCCATTCAGTGGCTATAACATTTTTTTATTTAATTTTTTTTTAAAAAAAGGTCAAAAGACAATGTTGACAGGAATTACAGAGCCCTGAATGCAGACAAAAGGTAAAATGCTGTCAAATAATGTTCTAAAAAATCATTAATTGAAAAAAGAATGAATAACAAATTATTACCAGTACTATAGAGCTCAAGTCAGAAAACAACTTTTAAACCGATAAAAAGGGACCATATAAGAAACATATAAAAAATAAAAATATAAAAAACATCAGTACAGTTTAAAAAGAGGGAAGTATAATAAATTAATAAATATAAAGTCAGTGATACATTTTTTTTAAACAATTCATTTATCAATTAACCATTCAATTATTGCACAAGAGAAATGTTGACTGCACTTATGTCCCCCAATGACTAATATATTACTTGAAAGTTTGGAGATGATCAAATGGAAGCTGAAGCTTTTTCCTAATTTGTATGACCCTGACCTTTGACCTATGACCTTGAAGCATTACATACTAAAATGGTGTATTTTATTATCTTTATCAGTATTAATGGAGAAGAACTGACTGAAACATATGGTTTCTACAGGCTGTAAAAACTTGAGATTTTAATACATATTCCTGCAGTATGGGATTTTTGTTAACTGGCATCATTGGGACGTTGTTGGGTGCTATACTGAAAAAATAAAAAGAGTGGTGTACAACTCTCTCTATGCCCTTTCATATGATCTATTACTCAATATGGTTTATTTTATTTTCTTTCAAGGTCAACTTTCACCGTGCACAGTAACAATGAAGACCTCCCCAAAATTAATCAGAAGTCAGCAAATTTTCTGTTTCAATTTTTAGTGAGGAAAAATGTTTTTTATCTGTTATCGTATACTACTTTTATAACATGCACTGATAACAACGTTTAATTCAGACATATTTAAGACAATTACCAACTCAAATTGCTTCCAAAGCTGGTGCTTTGCAACCAGGGAGCTTCTCAACTACCTGCTATGACATAACCTTTTCATACTGAATATAAGCATTATAAATATAGTTTTTACTTAAACATGTATTGCTATCAAACAACAGCTAAGATATAAGTCTGTGAGTTTCAATATAAATCAGACTTATATACCTGTTTGACACAAAGTACGATAAGAAAGGGATAATACTTTACCCAGGATAACGCCATTAAGTCGATATCCCCCATAGCAAACTCCCGCCATGAACTGGGATGCCAGATAAAAGTAGAAGTTAGGCGATAATCCAGTTGTGACAGTAAATATCACCATTACAACAGCTGGGATTTGACATGCTCTTTTTCGACCAAACCTGCAACAGATAAGATCCCTTAATTCACTTTGTCTCCTCTGGACAAATTAAATATTTAGTTGATGTTTCACATTAAGTGACAAAAATATAACAAATGCACCAAAAAATAAATAAATAAAAAAATCCAAATGTTAACACTACAAGTATTTACTTACGACTCTGCAAAAGGTCCAAATAAGAGACAGCCAACAAGGATGCCAGCCATTAGGACAGTTTGTGCTGTCTCCAACAAACTAGCCCGGTCACAGACTAGATCAAACTGGGGAGAAAAATAACCCATATTACTGACATTCATTCATAAAAGTTCACATTATTTACATTATAAAAGACCAAGACCTACATCAGTGACTATGGTGGCTTCATACAACATGTTCCCATACACCCATCCACTCTGGCACCTTGTAGTCTCATTGAGCCCGTACTCCCTGATGGCACCGATGTCCCAGTCCACTGGGACGAACATCCGACATCTGCTGAAGGTCCCATCCTCCTCCCGAGGCACGGTCAGGTTAAGCTGCTCCTCTGTGGTCAGGTTAGGAGCAGCATTGAGTATCCAGTCTGTGTTGCAGCGTCTGTCTGGATCTGACTGGATAAAAAGTACACTGGCAAAGTGGAAAGGCAGAATAACATTAGGGAAGCTGAGAGCAAAAAGGGTGATCTTCTGAAATAACCCAAACTCCCCCATACTCCGCAGAATCTCCCCGAAATCAGCCATTTTCAGGGCGCCTTCTTTCACTTTAGAGATGCTGGCCGACGACGACCTTTAAACAGTGCCTATTAATGTTTAAACCCCAGATCATGTATTTCAGGAAGGATGAGACAGCAGTTCATCAGACATTTCATTTTATAGAGAAAACTCCTCTCACTGATGGAGATGATAGTTTAACCTGACATGAGCCTTTTGTTCATTTCACTTTGTTTAATTAGTTTCCTCTGAGTGTGGTCACCAAAAACCTTCAGCAATTACAAGAGCTTTGGCAATGTGGCAAATTTCAATAACAGACCCAATCCCGACGCCTTAATTCAGTTTAATTTGCTATTTCCAACAATCCAATTCAATTCCATTCAAATTTATTTATATAGAGCCAATTTATAACAATAGTCGCTTCAAGGTGCTGTATGTTGTAGGGAAAGACCCTGTGAGTTAGAAACATAAGTGACAGTGCAGTATATAACTTACAGTAAGACACCTTGCAGATAGCTTAATAGATCATCCGCTAAGTTTTATAATATTCCTTCTTATAAAACCTGACCCAGTGCTCTTACATAACAAAACAAGCAGATGTGTTATGTAAGGTGGAGATGCTGTAAAAGTTATTGTACACTCGATAATAAAATGGTCTTATCATGCCGTGGTCTGCAGAAACATTCAAAAGGTCATTGAGCAATAAAAGTTTGCTTCCCTTTCTTCTTTTTAAAATGCATTTTTTGTCTTATTCAGTCTCATCTCCATCTCTTTTGACTGTCCTTCCTTTTAATTTGATGTAGAAAACAACAGAAGAAGCTAAAGATACAGAAACAGATCCAGTCTAAACATGGGTCAAGGTATACCAAGGCACACAACACAGATGTAAAAGATAAAAGACCAGTTATATAGATAACAGATCAATGCATGCATGACTACAGTATACATATGTGACTGTCTGGCTTTTATTGAAGGATACATATACGTACGGTAAATCAAAAACCTGCCATTTTTATGTGAACCTGTAAAAAATCAATCTTTTTAAATCTAAAACTATTTAAAAAGTTATGACATGTACAAAAAGGAGGACCTTGCACTGTTGTTGGCAATTAAATGCAAACATATTTAGGGGCACTAATCTATACACCAGATCACACTTCCTTTGAAGTGCTGTTTGAGGAACACACAGATGGATCCGTTCAAATAAATCAAACTTCAGCCACTGTTCCAAACCCTGGGAAGAATCTAGGACACACTTCCTTTATAGAAAGGATAACACTGGCTGTTAGCTAGCCCTTCCACAGGAAAAAAAATATACATCTAACTGCACCTTTAAAACACAGAGATAACTGCTGAATATAAAACTCAGCAGACTACATCAGTCCACATGTAAATGTGTAACTTCCATGGTAAATATAGCAGTGACAGCCCATTTAAAGTATTATTGGCTTGTTTACCACCTGATAAGAAGCTGTCAAAGGGCTCCTGGAGGTAACAACTCACATTTCTAAAACTGAAAATATTTTCAGTAGGAAAACGCATTAAATGCAGACATTGTTGATGGTTTTAAAGGAACATTTGTTCTACGCTTGCTTTGGGTATCACACTTTTGCATAAAGAAATTAACGGATAAAGAAAAGTTGGGATAACTGAACACATTTATCTGTCTTTGACTGGCATCCTTCTGAGCCACTTATCTACCAACACTCATTTTTTACTATTAGGAAATGGCTGCTACCTCAGGACAGCAGCACACTGGTACTGATTGTAGTTTCTCTGGGTAATGTATGATTTTTATTCGTTTCTTCATGAGACCAGTTTCTAGAAACACCTGCAGTCAGAAAACAATTACTCAAAGAATCATTTATGAAACTCTTAAGTGTTCAAAATTTTCTAGTTCCAAGTTAGAAACGACAAAAACACCTAAAAACAAAAACAACAACAAAACAGCTTTTTAATGAGTTTGGGTTTTTTTGTTTATGTAATGATATGTAAATATGTAATGATAATAATAATAATAATTATCATTATTATCACTAATGGTCTCTTTATATGATTAAAACATGGGAATCACAAAAAACACACTAAATTCATTGTTTTGTTATTAATTTTTTATATGAATGTGGATCACCTAATAATTAGTTTCTACAGATTTTTTTTTTAAATTTAGCAGTGTTTAATATTTTTGTTTCATTTCTATTTATCGTGTCTAAAGGTTTTGAACTGTGACAAGCTGCTGCATGAAGGAAATGCACCAAAGAGATAATAAAATATGAAAACGATAGAACACCTGCTGAAGGTCCCACCCTCACATCGAGCTGCTCCTCTGTCAGGTTACGACCCGCACTCAGGATCCAGTCTGTGCTGCAGTGTCTCTGGATCTGACTGAATAAAATGAAAACTACAATACAAAACTTCATGTAACCAAAAAGAGTAAGCGTTTGAAAGAGACCAGCTTTCACATTTAAAAAATTGAAGAAAAGAAAAGAAAAAAGCTGGAAAGGAAGAAAATTTTGTTTTACTTGAAAAAAAAATCAAATAAAATAAAAAAGTGCTGGGAGCTTTTCCAATCAGAATTAGGTGTCTGATGGCACGATTGTGCCAATCTCATTTTGCTTTTCCAAGACATGCTCTATAAATCTCTATAGGCTCTTGTTCATGTGTTTATCTGTTTATTTAATCATTTCTATTAGTGTTGTTTCAGTCATTACATTATATGAAACATAGTATAACATGGCAATGTCTAAGTTGCTGTGTGTAGGAACTCATCCCCTCCCCCCACTCATTAACAGTTCTATTTTGGTGGGTGTGAGTGTATGAAAACCCAGTGCTACTAAAAGACAGGACACTTTAAATAAAAGCATCAACACTCATTGAATACCATCATGTAACTTTATTCAACAGCTAAAATAAAAAAAACAAAAAAAAAAAACAATCAGCTTGCATGTGCTGAAATTTACTGACAATGTATCAAACTGGTAAATCACCATTGCATCTCATCACAAATACTCTTCAAACTAAGCATGGGTGGATATACACATTTTATGATTAAGCGTATATTTTTTTTCAAAAATATAGGTACTGATCTGTAAAACAAAGTTCATACATACTTGCCAATCAATTGATTAAAAATAATACTAATCACTGAGTGCCCTCATAAGAGGCAGAATGACTTTTAAAAAGTAAACGATAAGGAAGATGTTTAGAAAGTCTTTGATAAGCAACCATTTAATGACCAAATCACACATACACACACAGAGGGTAGGGTAACCTGTGCCATTCATCGTCTAGTTAAAATTATCTATCAATCAGCCTGTAACTGGCTTCCATGAGGAAACACTACATATCATGACATCAACGCAGAGTGTGACTTCAAGCCCAATGTAATTTAAAAAAAAATCTGCATGTTAACATATGAACCAACTGAATAATCCACACATGATTAGTGATGCTCAGGCAAAGGCCAACAGTGGAAAACACTACAAAAACAAACTGAATTCTGCGTGCTGAACATGAGTCTCTATCTGTTTGCCTTTAATCAATATTTACAAGTAATATGTTCCTTTAATCTGACATGTACACTTCAACAGTCAATGCAACGACATCATTACATACAAACCTCATGTCTGTGCGACAGTGCGTGGAGTTGCCATCATATGTACAGTTACAACATGTTAACATACACCATTTACATCAGTCCTTGAACTAAGAGCTGTGTCACAGCCCTCTGCACATGGTCCAAAACCACCACAGAGCTACACTGGGAGTGATGAGTGACTTGGTGTTCATAAAGCAAAGACACTACAGTACTGAAACAACTTGCCCAGTGACGACAAAAGCTTCCAATGATTTTTAAAAGGTTGCTAGCTTTAAAGAAATTTGTGGGGGGAAAAAAACAAAACAAACCAAGATAATGCTGTCATTGATTTATTGTGTTTTGGCAAATGAGTAAGACTCAAAATACGAGTGTAGGGAAGTAGAAAGAATCTGCAAAATAACTGAGCAAAGCTGCAATTATTTACATCACAAGTGTGTATTTTTAAAACATTTTAAACATAGTCATTACCAGTATTATGGTGACACCTTCACCGCACATTCTAACATGTTTTTAACAAGTGTATCGACCATGCTCACCTTCTCAGTGTGTTTGTGATGAGTGTTCGTGTTAAAACATTAAGTACCAGACAAACTGAAATTTGGACCAGATAGTGAAACAAGAGGAAAAGACCGGGAGCAAAGCGGACAAGGAGTCCTTAATACCTGTGCCAAATTTAGTGACAATCCAATGTATAGTGGTCTGAGATCATTTAAACAAAACAAGAATGCCGAGCAGCTGCTTTGTAAACTCTCGTGCCAATCGAGGTGATGCCAAAACATTTGACCAAGAAAATAAAAACTTTGAGGACCACGAGTGTGCACAGAATATATAAGTATACACATGTAGTAAATTTCATGCCAGCCACTGATGAAGCAGCAATGCAATCAATCAGTGCTTGAAAGCAGAATCCCATTCATCTCCATTGTACTGGGGTGGAGGCAAATAAGCCAATAGCTATCTGCATGGCTAGCTGTCTTCCCCTTCTAAGCTTCATATGAGTACGCGCACCTTTACAGAAGTTCATCAGCACTCAAAACCAGCATCTGGGAATTGTAAGAGCTGTTAAATCAGCTATTGCGAGATTCGATGACAACTTAAAGGGGAATAAAAAAAAAGAAGCAGTCATTACCCGTGTTTGTGGATATGAATGTTAAATCTTACAATGGGCCCTTAGCGATGTCAGTTTGGCTGGTTGACTCGTTATGAACTCCTTATGAGGTACGAAAAAAGAAAGAAAATGTATCCAACACAAAGGAAATGATTAGTAACCAGTGACCACATACCGTGAAAAGAAAACAGCTATTGCATAGTACAAGAATATCAGGCATTCCCTCAACCTGTGAAAATAATGTCTTTAATACCTTGGGATAAATGCCAACTGACCGAGTGTGGCACTGTGAGTGTTGGTGTGGGACAGAGGGGCTACAGTTGATTTAA